AACCCTAGACACGTTTTAAAACCATAAGGAGAACGAAGCACTCCTTATAAGGGTGTAGAATCCTAGACGAAACGAGGGGAATGGTGGAACCCTAGAAGCGCTTTAAAATCGTGAGAGATGAACGAGGAGATCAAAACATTCCTTATAAGGGTGTGGAACCCTAGACACGTTTTAAAACCATAAGGAGAACGAAGCACTCCTTATAAGGGTGTGGAATTCTAGACGAAACGAGGGGAATGGTGGAACCCTAGAAGCGCTTTAAAACCGTGAGAGATGAACGAGGAGATCAAAACATTCCTTATAAAGGCGTTGAACCCTCTACTCCGTAAACATGTATTAAAATCTTGAGGTGTAACACATTAAATTGAATTTATTCTAAAAAAATTTAGAGATCAAATAGAGAGAAACGTAAATGCTCGTTGAAAATGAATATAAGTAAAACCCTATATCGAGTTAGGGCTTACAAAATCTTAAATCAAACTTCACCGCAGGTGAAAGCAAAGAAGGAAGTAAAGAGACCTATAGGCTCTCTATAAAGATATCCAAATTGAAGGGGAAGAAGAAATATATTAATCTCATGATGTTGAGCTTCACTAGACAATGTTGAGTGCCGTCGTCCCCTTCTCATCATTGCTCATTATATGCTTCCCATTACGCAAAGCAATCATACTCCTTTTCATTTTCACTTTCAACCTTACTTCAAACCAATCGTATCCGTAGAAACGTATTTTTTTCGTGAAATCTCGTACTTTCAAATTTACTCGGTGTAATGGTTATGTAATAGAGAATGATATTTAACATGGGTGATCGATGATGTTACAATCCAAGTTGGATGGCCTTTATCTAAAGAAAACGGGACACGCTACCGACCCTTAGCGCTATTTAATTAGTTCAAAATTATGAGTATTCGACTGCTTTTGTAATGGTTATTCGTTGATGCATACCTCGACTAGCATTTAGTCCATATAACTTAAATTAGTTGGTGCATACCTCCGACTAGCATTTAGATCTTGAAACTTAAATGGGTATGTGGATACAGAAAATAAAACTATGGAAGCAAGCTTTGAGATCCCACGTTAGCGTGAAAACCTTATAAGGATGTGAAAATCTCTCCCTAACAGATATGTTTTAAAACTATGAGGCTAACAGTGATACGTAACGGACCAAAGCGAATAATATCTGCCAGCGGTGTGCCATCGAGAACACTGGACCCTAAAGGGGGTAGATGATGAGATCCCACATTGGTTAGAGAAGAAACGAAACATTCTTGTTATAACGGTGTGGAAACCTCTCCCTAACAGATGCATTTTAAAATCGTGAGGCTGACAACGATACGCAACGAGCCAAAACGGACAATATTTACTAGCGGTAGGCTTGGGTTGTGACACAAACTCATTTATTGGGTAGGTAGAGACATACAAGGCTACAACAAAACCCATCCCTAATAGTCGCGTTTTAAAACCGTGAGGCTGAGATAGATTGTGAGATTTCACATCGGTTGAAGAGGGGAACGAAACATTCTTTATTATAAGGGTGGGGAAACCTCTCCTAAACATACGCGTTTTAAAACCGTGAGGCTGACGACAATACGTAACGACCCAAAACGGACAATATCTACCAGCGGTGGGCTTGGGCTACTACGCAAACTCATTCATTGTGTAGGTAGAGACATACAAGGCTACAACACAGCACAGCATTCTATATTATAAGAATATGAAAATCTTTCCCTAACAGTCGCGTTTTAAAACCGTAAGGTTAAGGTGGAATGTGAAATCTCGCATCAGTTGAAGAGGGAAACGAAACCTTCTTTATTACAAGGGTATGGAAACTTCTCTTTAACAGACGCGTTTTAAAACCGTAAAATTGACAACGATACATAACGGGCTAAAACAGACAGTAACTACAAGCTCATCTCGAGCATACGAGGGCTACAACACAGCCAAATGGGGGTTGGAAATGGAGTTGACTGATGAAATATGGTGTTGTGGTGGTAGCTACCTAGCTTTAAACCCAAAATACCATAATTGAAAAATGCAGTCCTGTCAGTGTTGGTGCTGCTACCTTAGCTTAGCCATAGCCTTAGCCATAGCCACATGAAGTTAATACCCAAAGAGCCTTACAACACAAGCACCACCACGCCCAAGCCAACCCCAACGCCATCCTTGGCTTCAATTATTTAAACCCCAACCATCCATTCATCACCTTGTTCAAACAAACCACATAGCCACACACAATCATAATGTTCCCTAATTATTTTTGCCTCTTCCTTTCTCTCTTTGTTCTTCACTTAACATCAATCTCTTCACATGTATAACACTCAATATCCTCCACTTAATCTGATTTTCTCCCCCTTCACTAAGCTTATATTCATATTTTTACGTGTTTAATGTAGGTGTATATAGTGTATTTAGGGCACACCCGTCTCGAGGATGCAACTTTGACCTCCGAATCCCATCTTCGTTTGCTCTCTAAAGTATTTTCAAGGTCGATTATATATATGTATGCATGTGTGATTCTTATTAACGTTAGAAGTGTATAATAAACAAAATGATATCCGTGCAGTGAAGAAGATGGTAAACGAGCCATGTTGTATAGTTACAAGCATAGCTTTTCTGGGTTCTCCGCGAAGCTTAATGCAAGCCAAGCAATGACGTTATCGAGTAATTAATTGATCGAACTTGGTTAAGAATTCGATGAAATTTAACTTAATATGAAATGGGTATTAGTTTATGAGTTTGATATTGAAAGGAATGCATGCAACATTGCCATGCAGAGATGGAAGGAGTGATATCCATATTCAAGAGTAAAACTATGGAGCTCCACACAACAAGAAGTTGGGACTTCTTGGGGCTTCCCATTCCTTCGTATAGCGGTCGTAGGACGTTTGATACACCACGTTCGCGTAAGCTGGCTGATGGCGACGACGTTGTTGTTGGCATCTTTGATTCAGGTCTTTGGATTAATTTGCATTATATTCGTTAATCATATGTTTCGTGTCTGAGTAAGTTAAATTACAATTTTATTCTCTATGATATATGATCAAATTTGATTGTTAGGCATATGGCCTGAATCGGAAAGTTTCGAGGATGATCGGTGGATGTCCCCGGTTCCATGCAGCTGGAAGGGCAAATGCGTGAAAGCGTATAGATTCAACCCTTCATTAGCTTGCAATCGCAAGCTAATTGGCGCTCGTTACTATCTCAAAGGTTTCGAAGCCGAATACGGAGGACTCAACACAAGCGGGAACCCTGAGTTTGAATCGCCTCGAGACTTTTTGGGGCACGGGACTCATACAGCTTCAACGGCCGTGGGTGGCATTGTAGAGGATGTGAGCTTCACAGGGTCATCGTTAGGCAAAGGCATCGCTCGAGGAGGAGCGCCACGGGCTAGGTTGGCTGTGTACAAGGTGTGCTGGGGAAAGGACTACGAAGGGAAGTGCACGGATGCAGACGTGATGGCTGCGTTTGACGACGCTTTGTGCGACGGAGTCGACGTTATCTCGGCGTCGTTCGGAGGGTCGCCGCCGTTGGCTCCATTTTTTGAGTCTAGTAGTGCGATTGGGTCGTTCCATGGCATGCAGAAGGGAGTGAGTGTTGTGTTCTCAGCTGGTAACGATGGACCTTATCGTTCACTCGTTCAAAATGTGTTCCCGTGGAGCATTTGTGTTGCTGCTTCAACTATGGATCGAACCTTTCCCACTCAAATACTCATTCAAAACCGGATCTCTATTATGGTTGCCTCTCTCTCTCTCAAACAAAATATTATTATGACCTTATTTATCTTTGGTTGATTATGTTCAAATTCTCTTCATCAGGGTGAGAGCTTGATCACTACAAACATAATTAATGCAAAACTAGCGAATGCGATCAACTATTTTATAGACGGGTGAGTTCGGATATCATTAGAGAAGCTCACGTCATTTTAAATTGAATCTCCTGTCGACGCCTCTTGTTTCAATCTCCATCCTCACGGAATTCTCCATTTATTTAATGGACTGAAGCCCATCTTC